TTATTAATAGATCTATTTTGATCCGCATGAATCTACTGTAATCTACGAAATTTGAAATAGTAGGTAAATAAAATGATTATTGCCAATTACGTTTTATTTTTTAAAAGTTTTTATTATTTAAGAAAGTCAGACACTTTTATTACATATTTTGGCATACATTTGTAGAACACAGTATATTTGTACTTAAATATTTAATAACTACAATGTGGTTGGTAGTACAAAAAGATTGTTAATACAAACGTTTTTATATTATTTAAAAATTTCTTGAAAGTGTACTTTGGTTGAAAGAGCTCATCAAATCCTATAAAATGATACAAAATTATGTTTTTCTGTGATTCAGTTGAATCAGAATTGTGCAATATTTTATATAATTGAGAGTAGTATCATGAAAATATAAAATATTAATCTAAAACTCAATAATTAAATAAATTAAAAACTCAATAATAAAATATTAATTCTAAACTCAATAGTTTATAAAAATAATCTTTATTTTTATTTAAATTTTTTATTTTAAATATATTAACTATCTACTTCAATTAACAAAAATATATTTTTTATTTATTTACTATTAATATTTTGTACTTTATGCTTTTATTCTATCAATTAAAATTGTTAAGTATTTTTTATTTTTATATTGCATATTTATTTATTGCTTCACATTTTTTTCATCTCTATTTTATCTTCATTTATAAACTGTTCCGATATTCACTACCAGTATTAAAATTTTATACTTCACGTTACATATGCTATAGGTTTCCAGTACTGGCAGTGAATATTGGAACGCAGTTATAAATATCAAAGAATCACATATTTAAATCAAAGAAGCACAATTCTATATAGAATAAGTAAAAAAATCACTCATGTGAAAACACAAGTTANATAAGAACAAAAACAATGTTTTCAGAACATTGTTACTTTTTAGTTTGTTTTTGTTCTAAAAACAAAAAAACAATGTTATGAAATCACAACTATTGTTCTGAAAACATTGTTACTTTTTAGTTTGTTTTTGTATTGTTCTTAACTTATTGGTCATCGAAGTTTTTATTCTTTGGTCATTTGGAATTGTCCATTGTAATTTTTTTCCCACCTTTTTTGCGAAATCTGTAAATATTATAATTATTATTATTAACAGTTATTATTATTATTATTATTATTATTATTATTATTATTATTATTATTATTATTATTATTATTATTACTACTTTGATATTCTTGATAACTAGTATGATTTGTTAGAATTACCAATTATTGCTGTAACTGCTGCTGGATCAAGACAATCATATTTTTGCTGTATTCTCTCTAAACCCTGTGCTCGCGGAGCTTGTCCAGTCAATGTGCAGTTCTGAATTTGCTCATGATTTAAAACTTCGTCCATGAGACGACGAGCTAAACTGGTAACGCTTTTCGCAGAGACCAATGTATTATGGAATATCCATAGTCTACAGTAAATTTTTAAACGTTTGAGTAATTTCATCTAAAACAAAAAATAAAGGTAAAAAACCAATGTAATTAACATAAAAGAAGAGATTAAAAAGAATAAATTTTAAAAATTCCTACGTCGTTTTCCCAATTTTCACCAAAAAGCTGGCGAGATAAACTAATTGGTGACTTTAATAAAGTTTTNACTTGCTGACCAACATCAATTTCTTCATCATCATAATCACTCACATTNCTTTCTTCATCATTGATTACGTCATTTAAATCAGTTTCTTTGTCATTGTTAATTGAATTTTTTGTATTTCTATAATTATCACTGTTTATTGCATTTTCTTCATTATCGTAATTGNTGTCACTTTCTTCATTATCTGAAAATTCATCAGTACTAGACAATATAGTTTCCTGAGTGGAAATGCTAGCAACAGGCGTAAGTTTTGTAGACGAAGATGATGTTCCTGAT